CCTTACTAAAATCGAAGTAAAGAATTATCACTGACTGACCAACATCTCTTCTCTGGGTAATTTGATCAAGAAATTCCAGGTGCGATGTGAAACATGAGCGTTTAGTCATAAACCCGTGTTGCGGTGGGCTAATCAGTCTAGCCGAAAGTAAAAATGATAATAGCTGTTTGTGGATGATTTTTTCCATGGTTCTTGAGAGCACGGATGTTAAATTACAGATGTTTCTATGCCACTCATTTGTATAGACCTACTACAACACTATAATTCACTCATCGATATAGGCAAACGTAGGTTAATGGACGGAAACACAAAACCATCTGTTTGTTTAACTTCTCTTTTCGGTTGTAGATAATTACAAACAAGTTCAGCAGCTGAGTAAAACAAATGCATCCAAAAACAGTGAAATTAATAATATTCAATATAAAAGTTTTAACCAACCAAATATCTTCATTTCTGTTGTAACAACACTAAGTAACATTTTGATTCGTCTCGATTTTTCAATAATATTATGTCAAAAAAATAGGAGCAAATAAACAAATTTTAATATGCTTAAATATATTCATTCGAAAAAACAAAAACAAATTGTTTCGTTTGCTAATATGCTTGCTTGTATGTGCATATTTATATATACTTTTCCCAAAATAACCCTGAAAGTAAGTCATTCTGTTAAAATCTCTTTATGCTATTACATGTTTAAGAAACGCATGCAGATTAGTTTATTTTCCTGTTTTCGCCAGCTTTGTGTCTTCACTCACGTACGAGTGTAATTCGACACACAGTTATCCATTTTTTGTTTTACAGGACAGCCGGAAAAGACGAAAAAATATCGCCGAGTTTTACGATGAACCGAAATTTTCATTGTACGAGTTGCTTCATTATTATATTGTACCACATGGCCTCTTATAGTAAGGAAATGAGACCAGACGCTGCTGAACATAATAAGCTGTCAGAACAGTGTTTACCAACGAAAAAGTCTTTGGGTTTAAACTTCTGGCTGGCCACGTCTTAGGGTCATCATTACTCCCTAGGGGGGATTGATCTGTAGCGGTAAATTAATCTCCAAAATCAATAGCCCTGTAAGTCTTTGACGTTTGATGCTGACCACAGTTTTAACGGACTGACCTAGCTGAAGGCACTTGCTCATGCATCCGCATCAGATCACGAGCTCAACTCCTCCTGTGACCGCTAGTTAGTCTAGATCAGTCACTTCCCGATAAATTGATAATCAATGAAATATATCTTGAAACGTCCTCGATTCTGACGTTCGAATTCATTGTGTGGGCACGATTCAATCATAGGTGTCACTGGTTAAAGTGTTGTCAAACTCCAAACACTTGTGGCATCTTCACACCTGATAATCTCGACGGGGGATTTAAACGCCAAGATCTGGATAGACAACATTGAATATGTGGTTATGGGCTTGGAGGAAGGAGCGAGAGTGGTGAGAGATTTTCAACGCTATTCATTCTCAACAGAATGATTATCAGTGACGTCATGCCAGAAATAAATAGCCTTATGAGTCCCATGCTGTGATGAGGATCCTATTAGTTTCTCTAAACACGACCTCACCTAAGAGCTCTTAACCAAAAATCTAGATGACATACAGAACCCACACATTTGTGTGCGCCATTCCGCGCACCTCTTACGATAGCTAGTCAACTTGGATTTTCTACACCTTAATACACCGATCTATCTTCACATCCCATTATCGTTGGCTAACCAAGGACTTAGCTACGTTATGACAACTGGCAGGCGGCTCTAGAAGAGATCGTGGGCTTAAGTCATAACTTGTAAACCTTTCACAACTACGCGTAAGTGCAAACAACTAAAAATTGCAGTGTCTCCGTTCAGGAAGGTCTAATGACATCCTGCAGAGCAACAGCAATTTTCGAACAGTTGAGATATAGGCAACTCCAATACTCGAATAGGCCTTCGTAAGTGACTTATATTATTGTACAGCTTGTTTCGAGCAAAAAGTCAAACTAGAACATAACAATTTGGTCAAAGTTCAGTGCCACTTAAATAGGCTTCGGATCTGTTACACTAGTGCCCGAACTAGGTGTACAAATTGACTCTTCAAAACCAGAAATAATTGCAGTTAAATAAACCTGGCTGACACGGTCTATAGATAGTATGGAACTTGATTTCGAGGGTTTTACGTTAGTGAGGGCCGACAGAATACAAAAGCGCAAAGGAGGGGGAGTAGCTTTATTCGTTAGGAATACTATCCCATTTGACATTATCGTAGGTTGTATCCCATGAGAGTGGGGCGTGTGAATTAGTTAGTCTTCGCTTGAAATGCAAGGAACAAGAGCTGTTGATTGATTTGGTCCATCGCAGTTTAAGCTGTGAGGTAAATGAGATCCTGTTAAGCAATCTCAATACTTGGTCACAAAGTGGTTGATGTCTAATCCTAGGGGACTTTAATGCACCTATGGTAGACTGGGAAAATTTGCGAACTGAATCGTCAGAAAATTCCTTCGAACAGGAACTAGTTGATGCGGTTATTACATGTGCCCTAGTGCAACATGTGAAAGAAGCGACTACGTACGACCTGGACACTGAATCATCCTTACTAGATCTTATATTGCCCCACTATGAGAATGACGTTGCGAACCTCCACAACATGCCACCCCTAGGTAAAAGTGATCACGCAGTTCTTACTTTCGACTTCCATATAACTGTCAATCACGAGCACACGTTAGCTCAATCCAAACCTAACGTCTGGAAAACAAACATACCAGATATCATGCACTCAGTATCGTTAGTAGATTGGACTATAGACCCAGATTACTCAATTGAAGCGGCTTGGGACGCTCTTTAAAATTTGTAATTAAAAGTTACCACACCCCACATCCCTTGGACTATACCAAGGGAGCCGAGAAACTCTCCAATATGATTCCGTAGGGAGGTCCGCATCCTTCTCCATAAGAGAAGAAAAATGTAGGTTACTGGGGACTGATGAGACAAAATCTCAGTATCGAAATAATTGGAATACCTGTGCCTCGACCCTCCGTAAGTCTAGAGATTTGTTCGAAGAAAAAATTGTTAAGGAATCCATAGAATGTCCTAAACGCTTGTATTCCTATATAAACCGAAGGACGAAAAGAAGAGGAAATAGTCCTGCACTATGGGGAGACAGTACTGCCGCGTCATTAGTGGAGGACGACTTTGGTAGGCCTCAAGTGTTCTCAAACTACTTCAGCATTGTATATAGCATAGAAACACCCTTCCCGTCAGTCCATATAAATCCCCCCACACAAATACTGGATAGCGTGGCCATTAAGGAACTCGATGTCTTTGGTCTGCTAAATAAGCTGGACATATGTAAATCCACGGGGCCCGATGAATTGCATCCTAGGCTACAGAAGGAATTGTCTAACTTCGTTGCGAAACATTTAAGTATATGATTTAATCTAGCCGTAACGCAGGATCGTTTATCAAAAGACTGAAAGAACGCCATTGTAAGCTGTAGAATTATGGTCTACTCTGATATTGTCCAATGCCACTACAAAGTCTTGTCTTCAAAACAGGTATGAAACATAAACCTGAGAATTACCGACCCGTTAGCCTAACTAGTGTGGTTGTTAAAATCTTAAAAAAGATTATTCGGAAGGAGCTGTTTAAGTACCTCGGAGAAGCAGCATGGTTTTAGAATAGGTTATTCTTGTCTCACTAACTTATTAGTGGCTCGTGAAAGCTGATGCGCTCTTAAGGACCAAAAGCTACCTGTAGACGTCGCCTTCATTGATTTCAGTAAAGCTTTTGACAAAGTTCCGCACAACCGGCTGTTAAGAATGTCGGGATTGGAGGCAATCTATTGATGTGGATAAAAGACTTCTTAGTTGGGCGTCAACAAAGAGTAAGGGTGAACTCAGTTATCTAGCTGGGAAACTGTGCTTAGTGGAGTGCCCCAGGGTACAGTTTTGGTGCCAGTGCTATTCCTCTTGTATGTAAATGACCGTCCTCGTCTCCCATCATCATCGGTCTTGCTATATGCTGACGATGTCAAGATATGGAGAATGATACGATGTAAGGGTGATAGCTTAGAACGCCAAAATGACCTGAAGAAGTTATCTGAATGGTCTCAAACATGGCAGTTGCCGATAAATACTTCCAAGTGTGTTGTGATGCATATCGGTCATCAAAGTGCAGATACATACACGATGAATAACACTGAGCTACCTGTCGTCCAGACATATAATGACTTAGGAGTCATCATTGGCCAAGATTTAAAGACTACTGCACACTGCCGTGCAATAACCGCCAAAGGTTTTAGGACCTTATGGACAATACGTAGGGCTTTTAGTCGTGTCGACGCTAAAATGTTTTTGACTTTGTATACAGTGTTCGTACGTCCTAAACTTCAGTACTGCATACAAGCGGCTAGCCCCTGCTTAAAAAAAGATAGTGAGCTTCTGGAAAATGTTCAGAGAAAAGCAGCTCATGCTGATTCTCGGAATGGCGAAGCTTCCGTATGATGCTCGACTGGCCAAGCTGAACCTATTCCCGTTGTCACATCGTAGAACTGGAGGCGACTTGACTACACTTTTCAAATTGCTTAGTGATAAATTCGCACCTGATATGCCATCATTTTTCTTGTCTTCCAAAACAGAGAATTTACGAGGACACTCCAAAAAAGTTCACAAACCCAGAACAAGTTACTTGTCAGCTGACCATCGACTTTCCCATCGAATCATCAACGAGTGGAATTCATTAAATCAGCCCGTAGTTGAGGCTCCATCCGTCGACTCTTTCAAAAGAAAGTTGGATCAACTGAGAGACGATTATTGCCAGGACTAACACAGACCATCGAGCCTCCTGTCCCTTCCAAACTGAAACTGAGACTGTTGTTGAACTAAAAGTATGTCCGATGACGGGACCACTGTTAACTCTGGATGTATGTTAACAATAAAAGGTAACTATTCGCAACCGAAATGTTGATCACAAGCATTCCTGTAGTGCAAACACATTCTTTTAAATTGTCGAAAATTTCAATTAAAACGGCAAGCGGGCTTTTGACATCGTCCTTTTTCTGTTACTGCACATGTATGTTCGTTGTTCCTCCAGTTAATTGTTGCATTGTATTCTGGTAAATCAAAATAGCAGTTGTTTCTCAACGCTTCGGTATCATGGGTGATGATTTATTTTACTACTTCTAGGTTTGTGAACTATTTTTCTCGTTTCAGATTGACATTTACAAGTTCGCTGATAGAGGTAGTTACTTAATATCACGCAACATGGAAGTGAATGAGAATAGAGTCAGATGTTTGCAACAGTGGGTAGAGCACATTATTCCGTCCAGCAGTGATAAAGATGTTCGGGAGTGGCGAACGCTTCTGCAGCTTATTGATCTGTGGTAAGCAGTAAAGTAGTTTTCATGTTTAAAGAAATCACTTGCAGTTATTAGTTACCACTTGTTCTAATCTGGGTCCTTTACGGTGAACGATTTTATGCTATTTTCCCAAAATGCATAGAAGTATCTTAATATAGCCCAAGAGATTTGATTAAGTTCAGTAGATCATTTTACAAACTGCTGAGTTTTCTTAGTCTAGTCAAAGAAACAAAGTTTATTAGGCCTTAACCTAGTCTTAATCACAACATAGGTCTGGAGCTGGAAGCATGAATGTGGAAATATCATAGTTTGAAAATAGATGAAATATGAGTCAAATGTAGATACTCAGTTGTTTCAAGTGTTACTGTTTCTATACGTTAGCCGTCTTTCTTATGATGACTAATTCATTAATGCGGGTGCTTGCTTTGACAGTTAACTTGACAAATTTTTATGACTTGATGGGTTGTGTATTCAACTTAATAAGTCGTTTGTTCCAATATTGGGTTGGTTGACTTTGGTGATTACAACTATGATTTTAAGATATTTTTTCATATGGGTTGCAGAATACCTAGCCATGCTTAGTTAATTTGTGAAAGTTAACTATTTGTTTCGGAGTTCGACTTCACTGTGTATATATTAGGGAATGATGGTAAATCAGTTGATGAGGTTGTGAATCTTCATCGACTGAGATGGTTGGGCCACGTGTTACGTATGCCTGAACCCCGATTACCACGACGCGTAATGCTGACTAGTGTTAGGGATGGTTGGAATAAAATTAGGGGCTGCCAAACCAAAACGTGGCATCAGTCCTTGAAGTCAGTAACTTCTGGTCTGAGCCATGTTGTTAGATGCAGACTACTTGGTTGGGGTCCGCGTGACTATCGTAACCAATGGTTGGAGACTTATTGGCATGGCTCAGAATCGATCACAATAGTGTAGGTGTATACACTCGGTCTTCCTTTAAACTATAAGACTAAAATTATTTTGTATCTTTCTACGATCTAATTCTTCCTGTACCATATCCCTATATGCAATCTTTCCTTTATATATTGTCACCATTGAATTAACTACTATGAATCCGGTGTTAATTTTGTTGTGCTAATGAGGTGTGGCAACTTAGACTGATGCACATATGTACCTGGTCCTACGTTATAGCTGGTTGACTGACTGACGTCTGTCAGATATGTATTTGGGTCCTTTTATTCTTTTGTTTGCACTTTCATACTGACTCCACTGCGGTAAGTATTCTCTTCCTGGCATGGTAGAAATAAGTCGCTATTTCATACCTATGTACGTTAGTAGCTGTTATTCTGAGTTTCCCACGAAAATTCACGGGTATTCACAACTGAGATGAGCTCTTGGGAATCTGGAAAGTTACTACAATTTCCTTGTCAAGACTTCTCGTAAACTCACATCATCAATCATGTTGCTTGAATTTCAGCGAAGCCTAAATGTAGTTGTAAAAGTTGCTACGTTTATATGAAGTATTGAAGGGCGAATCCATTGCGAACTATTATATTGTCGGTCTAAAGGTAGCTTTTGTGTTCAGTTTTGAGCAAGCTAGCTGTTTAAAATTCGATACCCCAATCAGTTTTTAACTCTGAATTATTATTTATTTTTCTACTATGAATGAAGCAAGGATTCAAGTATGAGCACTGTTATCAACAATGAAGATATACCCAAAACGGTACACAATATTTTGTCAGGTATACAAATTTGTATTAGTAATGCTTTAGATTTCTTCTCTGTTGATCTTAACTCTATTTTCCCGACGAATGCGGATGATAGTCGCGGACCTACTTACCGACACTATTGTGTAAGTTCATTCTATGTAAATAATTTTTTAGTTTTTGTTACTGGTTTTGACTATGGGTCTGCGCTTGAAGTCCAAACTATTTATGAGTGCAGCATTCAAGCTTCCTAGCACAATGCATTATCATATTGTTGAAATGACTCAACCTCTTATTGAAGATTGCCCAATCTCGATGACTTCTTTTGAAGCGTTAAGCTTAGATTTAGAAAATCACCCGGTGACGCCCATTCACCAAAGCAGAAATATTAAGGGTAAGTTCCACTTATTTCTAAATCTTTTTAGCTCCTTTGACTTGTCCTATTATTTCAAAAGTACCCATATTACCGTTTGGACACAAAGAATTAAGTGTAACTGATCCTGAACTTACTTTTGATGATACACATTCCGGGAATGAACTTTCCTACAGATGTACTGGTCACTCCTTATACTCATCTCCACAAACCTTTTTTGGATCTCTTCATGTCCGCAAAGGAAAAAGCTGTATCACAAAATCTGGGTTTGGAAATGATTTCGAGTCGGAAATCGACTCTCCTCTTTACTCATTAAAATCAATTCTAGAGTCACCACAAGTCGTTCCTAAGGTTAGTAAATGGTGATCAATAAATTTGTTTCGAATCGAAGTTTTTATGGGGATTTTCATGATTATTTCAAGTTGTTTATTCTCAGGAATTATTTCAAAGTTGAGGTTCTGTGTGACTAAAAACTTGATGGTTTACGTAAGTACCATATTGAAAGTTTTTAAAGACTGTTTCGTCCTTTGATTTGCTGCTACATAGAAAAATCTAAAATACATATCAATTTTACTTTGTTTAATTAGTAGACATTAAGTTGTTTGGAGATGTGTCTATTTCATGTGATTTTAAAACCAGGAAGAGTGCCTTATACAAGGTCAAAACGTAGGCTTCCGAAGCTCTGATACATAGTCTCGATGTTCTTACTAACTTGCATTAGTTAGCGGGAACGCTATTATCGTTATTGGTGACATTAGGAATGGAGATTGAAAAGTAAACAAAGTCTAAAAACCATACCATTTCGAATGCGCCTTAATGATCTATTGGGTCAGCTTGTCACATTTTAAGATCGAACCCTAGTTGTAACAACAACATTTAAAACTGCGAAGAGATACAGAAAAGAAGGCTGTAGTGACGGATAAAATTATCAGTTAATGATATGTTCATGATTGTTATTATACAGAGAAAATCTTGATTCAATAGAGCCTCAAAGGGATGCGAAAAAAAACAGAATGGCAATCTGGTGAAAAATTGGAAGTATGAGAATAATCCAGTTAATAAATGATCCTAAAATACGAGGTCTGTAACAATATAATAACAAATAATTGACCCATTCGCTAGATACTTGGATTTGAGACACGCTAAGTGCTAATGATATTACCCGACTGTCCGAATAGAAGTGAATGCAGTGGGTTTCAGACATGGGTCTTGGTGAATGAAAGCTGAACACCTTAGCCATGCCAAGGTTACGCAATTTGAGTATAAATGCAACCAAAGTAAATTTAAATAAATAATATACTGGAACTTACGGAGAATGGAATAGAAAGTTTCGGCTTCTATTCTGAAACAGTTATAGTACAGAATCAACTCAGTAAGTTGAAGGATCTTAAGCATTGTATTCAGGGAGTTGTGATAAACTCATGATATCTAATGCCGCACGACTACTCTATATACCATACCTTCATGTCAAAAATTGATTACTGCTTTCTCTTCGTAGTTTCAACGTCTAAAAATTATGCGCGATATGAAAGTGGTTGGCGCAATTGTTTAAAAAGTGACTAAGCCACCGGAGCCTATTTTTAAGTGGTAACGTTGAGATATCATCACCACTATGCTTAAACACAACACTGGACTTTCTCAATACCTACACAGCATTGCAATCAGTTGTTATCCTTCTTTTGGAGAGAAAGGTAGTCGAACAAAAAGTTTTCGAGAATCCTCAGTTCAGTTGGACCAGGTATTATTACCGTAAAGCACAAATACCTTCCTCGATGTCTTACAACCAAGACTGCAGGTCGCCTAGGTATTTCGAATCCAATAGAATATTAACTCTACTTAAAGTCATTTAGGTGGTTTCGTTTCTCTCAAAATTGATCATTCATTGTCCCTAGCGATCCACGTCCTAACAAACTATTTAGAATAATTCACGCTCTTTTGTAGTACACCAAGTTGATTAACTTCTCGCTGTACATTTATATTATCAAGGGCCAACTTTTATCCAAATTGGATGAAATTCGATCCTTGTCTTCTAAGTTATCTGAGGTCCAGCATTTATATGAAGAAAACATGTGTGAACTTAGTCGCCTGAGTTCCGAGTTGCAAGCTTCAGAAATAAGGAGAAAAGAAACAGAGATCCGCTTGAAGCGACGTGAATCAGAGTTAAACGAAATGCGTGATGAATTGGCTTATGAAATAGAAATGCGTTCATTTCACGAACAACGATCTAATCTTGTTGATCAGTAAGTTATAACTTGACGTAGCATTTAAATTAGCATATTCCCAGAGGTTAAGTCACCTAGCATCGGGAAGTAGTAGTGTGACGAAGAATTGATAGGAAATAAATACAAAAGGTTCTCGGTAACAGCTTCTGGAAGATGATAGCATTCAGTCGTATCACAGTACAATATGGGCATAGTTAACAATTACTTGCTGAAGTATTTACAATTAACATCTTACTTTGATATGATTATTTACTGTACATAGCATAAAAAACATCTAGTCGAGACTGATATGTAGATGTTCTATTGTAGTGAACGCTACTCACAAGATTGTAAGTAGTGTTGTAGCGGATCGTGGCATCAAAGTTGCAACAGTTGTCAGACGGAGTGAAGAGTTCCAGTGCATCTAAAGCACGGCGTTGTCAGAACACTAGGAGACTAGATGAGAAGACAATTCAGATGGTAGAATACACCGAAAGATCCAAATGGACGGTTGAAGACTATGTATATGTATTATGCAAATACTTTGCATTTCCTAGCGATAAATTCACATTCATCCTGCCAATTGTTGTGTTTTACGTCATAATCAGACAGTTTTACATTGTTTTGTCATGGTAGATACGTTCTATTGTTTCACTGTCTGAAGCAGCTAGTTGTGGGTAACTAACTACAGTTATGATTATAGATGATAACGAATTACAGATATGAAGCAATTAGATCCGCAAAATATTGATTCATTTTAAACGCGATGGGAAAACCTATCGTATTATGCAATTCAGGTATTAAGTCAAAGTTTTATCAGGTTTCAAAACAAACGTATATATATATATATATATATATATATATATATATATATATAAACGCTACACATATTTTCGGTTTATTGAACTGAAGTAGATAAAGTTAGCTAAAACCCACAACACTGGTTAAAAATACTGTCTAGACTTAAACTACATTTCTTCAAAAAGTCGAAGAAAGATGTGAACTGCGTAGTGTACTTTGGGTTGTTTGATTTTCTGTAATTGTTTTTCTTCTATGCTAGGATTACCGGCTAACGCTTAGGTTCTTAGCTTTCTAGTCAGTAAAGTAAATTTATGTATATGTACAGTTCTCATAAATTTAATGTGTAGTGTCTCGTTCAGTAAAAATGGGCTTTTGATTTATTTTGTACTTCAGTCTACAGGAAAATCTGAATGATGCTTTGGAAAAATTAAAGGTAGTTAATCAATTGGACAAGGAAAATCAGGAGCTTCTCAAAGAAAACCGCAACTTGAAAACTAAGGTATGTCATTCATAAAGTTTTGGTGGTACTAAAGACTAGAAAGATTGGTTCAGCGAAGAGTTCTCTTTTTAGCGAATTTATTTTCAAAGCTGTACGATTGCAAATATATACACTTCTGGATGATAATAATTACAATAATTGCAATAATAGTGATAATAAAATCCTGTTAAACATGGTGACAGTGAGGTAGAATAAACATAGGTTTCAAAACGTTACTTTTTTTATCAGGGAAGCTAATATTATTATCAGAATGAGGGTTTGTGGAAATTGTAGTAATTTAATAGTTGAATTCATGAGTCGATTCATCATGGAGGTAGATGAAGAAACTATTATTGGAAAAGGATGGCTCAGCATGATGTAATCAAATGTTGAAATTGAGATGAAATGTAATCAGGAGGATCATAGAAACAGAAGTAAACCAGTTGAGGATAGAAGGTCTATTGAGAAAACAGAGGGAGAAGCAGATGGTTGCGAAGGAAGAGAAGTATAAAGTAAAAGAAATTATGAGATATTAAGACGATGGTAGGAAAAGAGGTTTTACCGATTTCTTTTGACACGCAGAAATTCTCTTTAGGGCGTCTGTAACTCCATCACCCTTAGAATCAATGTTCATGTGAAGTGTTTTCTTTTCAGCCGAGGTTATTTGTGCTTCAGGCGGTTTGAGTTTTATATTCTTGTCAATATCACGCTTAATTAGCACGTAAATGGATAAACCTGTTTGTTTTAACTCTCTCTCTCTCTCTCTCTTACGGTAATGACCCAGCTATTCCTATTGCTTAGTATTCTTGGACACCGATTCACTCGACAAGACCCTAAATCAGAACACGGTTGAACAGGAAAGAGATTATATTCCAAATAACAAGGTTAGATGGAGGCAAGATGCAAGCCAGAAGCACAATAGGGAAAACGTCAGTATATTTATAGTTTTACATAAGAAGATTCCAGAGTATTCTCCGACTATCGACTAGTGCTGATTGGATAAGAATTAGCCAATCAGCGTGCACCAAAGCAATCATGCATTGAGCATATGCTTTAGTCCAGTCTATGTCCCGCTAACACTGTTACTCTGAAATAAACGCAACTAAAAATACCTTGTTGTTCCCGAAAACATAAATTCAAGTGACATTCAGTAGTAGTTTCGCGCAACGTTACCTAACCGACTTCTTAAACTACAGACTCATTTTGCGATATGAGCTGCGTTAAATTCTTCACGCTGATGTTTGTATACCGTGTTTCAGTTTGATTTCTATAAACTTTTCTATCCATCTAGGAGTACATGTCTGTAAAGTAGGTATCTCTTTGGCATTCAAAGGCTGTAGTGTAACCAGTCCAGTCTTTGGAGAGTAGCTACGTTAAATTAATGTTGGTTCATGATGGTAGGATTTGAAGTTTTTACATTTTGATAACTTTAATTTCTGTCAAGGAGAATGGTACTACGATAATATTTAAGAGTTCAGTTTTACTGTTGACTGCTCTAATATATGGTAGGATATGGCGTAAATAGTCAAGCTGTTGAAATTTAACAAATGTTTGAATTGGAACAAGCTTAAAAGATTTCAGCGTGTAGAAATATTTTACGCAAATAGTAATTGCTGTCATAATTTAATAAAATATAGTACCATATTTATTCTGAATTGGGCTGTTTGTTTATAATCATTTGTAGAAATCATCTCTTTATGATAACCTGTAACACTTTACTGATAAATGTTCTATAAAGTCATTCCCAGTAGTAACTGGCAACTGGAATGTAGTTAAGTCTTTAAACATTACAGGATATTCAAGACCGATTTCAAGTTCTCACAAGGTACAGACATAACGATGTCTGAATATATGCTGAATTTAATCATACTAGAAAAATTGAGCCGAATTGTATTGTGTAATCTTGAAGATCAGAAACATTAGATGTGCAGACTAAATTCCATGGCCATAGAACAAGACTACATTATCCAGAAAAACCTAAAGGCAAATCTTAAAGGAAATGGTGGGGGCCCATGATAATTTTTCTCGCTTTGTGCGGTGCATGTGTAAAGTAATACTTCAAATTACATTCCCAATAAGTTACTGTTCTTATTAGTTTTCGAATTGAGTACTATGCGAATGGTATGTCTGCGAGTGAAAACATAGACATAGATGTTTGCTTCTGTTAGTTTTTGTGAAATCACATATGACAAAGTGTATCTAACGTTTCTTGCTTCATGTATCCCTTTAAAAGGAACTTGGCTCTTTCCAGTTTACAGATTTTAAGATTTTTAACTATCCGTATGAGTGTGTATCTAACAGTTCTTTTGTGGTTAAGAAATTGTTCGGTATCCTACACAGTAAGAAGTATTTCTTTTATAATTATAACTATAATTTGTGAAACCTGTGTTCAGTTTCTTTTTTTATAGGAAAAAGAATTGGAAATTATTCGTTCGCGTTTGTTATCTCAACAAGAACTTGAACACCAACTTACTCAAATGAAAGTTGTTGCCCGGCTTGCAGATAGTGAGGTATAGTTTTGTATATTTTGTGAAGAGTAACCCTTTCCCAATTTTTTTGTTTGTTTGCGTCTTATCTTAATCTTAATTATGTTCTTTAGAATTATAGTATTCATTAGAATTGGGAATCCAAGTGTCTAATAATCCTGAGATTATCATTGACTTCATTAACGTTGGTTGGTTGTCATTAAAAATTATTGAGACCAATTACTACTAATATTTACTTCAAACTTGGCATGGTACGCAGGCTTATGTACAAGTAGGTTTTAAAAAGACTGATGGAGGTTGATTCAATATGTGATATCAGTACATTGTGCCATTGGTTGTTTAATCAAACCATTCTAAGAGGTGCAAACCTTCCCATTGTGATCTTATGAAAAGGCTGTAGGTAGTGTGGTTCAAAATTGGTCAAATTCATCGAGGTACATTCATTCTTCTCCCTCGAAATTTTGAGCTCAGTGGTATCCCATATCTTTCGTTCCTCTTCGTCTTTTTACCAGTTCATCGTAAAGTGGGGCAGTTTATACAGATACTCTCACCCAGATTTTTTCTTTTGATTTTCGACATGGTGTTACTGTCTTGCCTATAATATTCTAAACTGCTAGCTGAGGTAACACTAAAAGTGAGAGGCCATAAAATCTCAAATATTTCAAGACGATATTCATTTATCACTATTGGAAACTATGTGTTACAAAATAGCTATCAAAAATTATCTTAGGACACTTTGTCTGCTGTGCCCTCGTTGTTTCTTCAGATGTTGCACAAAGAAACTTTTAGGTTCTGAGTGATTAATGGATCTGAATCCAATCGTAAACTAACAAAGTGATATAGTTCCATTTATCCTAAAGTAGTTGAGCGTGTCAACCGCTCCACTTATCTTGGAAGTCTCATCAGCCCTTGTGATCTGGTGTGTCACAAAATCTCAGCACGGATACAGAAGGATCGACTAGCTCTTGCCAACTTTCGTCATTTATGGCGTTGGGAAGATATCCGTCTACCGACCAAAAGACGGGTTTACTGCGCAACATGTCGTTCCGTTCTGCTCTATGGCAGTGCGACATGGACGGTAAGAGTAGAGGATATTCGTAGGTTACTAGTATTCGATCATAGATATCTTCGAAACATTACTCGTATATCCTGAGACCAACAAGTAAGTACTGCAGTTGTTAGGAAATGGGTACTAGGCAAGGATGGCTAATCGATTTGTGATGTAGTGAAACTTCATCAGTTGAGGTGTCTGTGATATGTGTTCAGTATGCGCAACCACAGACTGCCCCGATGAGCGATGTTTTGTGTGTAGGAGTAGGTTGGAAAAAATCTAGGGGCGGCCAGACTAAAACATGGCACAAATCCATGAAGTCACAGACAAATGAACTGAGCCATGTTGGTAGGTGTAGACTACCTGGTTGCGATCCGCGAGACGATAGCAACCAATGGTTAGAAACGTTGAATGACATGGCTCAAAATCGTTTGCAATGGTGCAGGTGCATCCACCCTTTGTGTTCTCCCAAATTCTAATCTTCTGAATTCTTCATGTCCCCGTTATTCTCGTTCCAAATTTATTTCATTAGATTATACTCCTTGAGTAACATCTTCAAACCCTAATCTTTCCGATTACTGATTATACTTTACTACCTCTACCAAGGTGGGGTTTGAATTGACAATTGTATCTCTGTGCTAATGTGGTATGGCAACTCGAACTGATGTACGTACGTACAAAGTTCTACGTTGTTGCTCACGGACTGGAGTGCTTTTAGTTTCGCTATCGTATTCCCCCTTAACAAATACGTAGTTTTGAAAACGTTTTCGTTTGTTAGTTCAAGTAATCATTGAAATATTCTGTAATCTAGTGGTACACAGCCAACATAATCTAACAAAACAAAGATGGTGAAAAAGTGATGGTTGTTCTGAGCTCTATGATGTTTCGCAACTTCCAAGTGGTAAACATATGATTGGCCATAATGGTTCAAATAGATTTTCTTCAAGGTTAATCCATTAAGTTATGTTAGATAGGTATTATTCATTCAATTAACATGATTTAGCACAAATAATCTTCCGTATTATACTCTCCTTTGAGTCTTACAATTATAAATTCTCCAGTAGTGCTTTTAAATTTCTTTTATGTTTTATACAATAATCCATCGAAATTATTTTTAGATACATGAATTATTGTGCCATCGCGAACGACTTCTAGCTAGATCCGAAGCGGAATGCGTAGCACAGGCGAATTCTTTAATTCGTAACCAGGGTTCTACTTCAGAAACAATAACTCCTCTGTGTGACAACAGGTGTTATTCATGTGAGAACTGTCCTCAATCTGCGCATACATTTCATCCAAGCTTTGGCAAAGAATTGCAACTTTCTAATGCAGGTGAATTATCTCATGATTGTTACATTTTAAAGTACTTCTAAAGCTGGTGTCCATTTAGTCTAGAAAAGTAAATTGGTCGGTTTTTAAACTGTTTATTGTGTTTCAAGACACTGCAATATAACGATAGATCTAATACCTTGTAGTATAGACATATATTACAAGATAGTTATGGATAGGGTTCTAGGACTAATAAATTTTTTATTGTTAACTACTTCAAGTTTGCACACTGCCATTTCGAGAGATAAATCATTTATTCAATCTACGTATGTAAATTAACGTTAACATAACGTCCACATAATATTCCTACATAACACTACTACCCTCCATCTCATTTCATTATTTGATAGCTGTCATTTTCGATAACTAACATATAGGGATATATATATCGGTGAAATGGTAATATAAATTTGTATTCATCAGACTGACATCTCTATAGAAACGAAAGTAAATTTAGAGACGTAAATCCATTTATACCGTTTATATACGAAGTTAATAATCATTAGTCTGTTCAAGTTGGTATTTGTGTATTGGCTAAACTTCGTTTCCGATTTCGATGCCTGGATTCCCTCTATCCTTCTGTCTATTTCTTAGGCACTATGCTAAGTAGTTTACTTTGATTCTCTTTTTAGATGTTTCAAACGCAGGTTCTGCTGAAAGTTTAGCTTCTGTGGTGATGATAAATAATCAGCTCCAGGATCTTGAGTCAGCTGTTGTTAAGGCACAAACAGACTACCAAATTATGAGAAAGAAGTATATTGTACAACGATTTAATTCATTGTTCGGAAAACTCCTTGCAAAACACCGTGGCAGTATAATTAACAGCTTTCAATATTCATGTGGGGTAAAGTTAACTTATGGTTTAATCAATTTCTTTTCTAATTTACTGTTACGATTTCTGATATCTTATTTGTTCTGGGCCACCTAAGCTAAAACACAGTTGATTTGGGAAGTTACAATACCTAGTAAAGTAAAATTTCTTATTGTATCTAATCTAAATATCATTTGAGTCATAATAAGTAAGTTCTAGATTCTATTTTAGACAGTCCCCTTGTGTAACATTGTTGAATTAAATATTAAAAGGGGAATTATATTTGTAAATGTCTCAGCGATTGAAATTGCAATGATATTTCACTCCGCAATCTGATCCGATCCTCAAGGGGAAACAATCAAGCATCAAAATTATAAGATATAAACATTATAGTCCGAAAATTAACAATATACTAGATAAATTGTACGCTGCTAATTTGTAAACCATATATTTATCTTTGACAATTTTCATAAAGAAGCTCGAATTAGACTGTTAAATAAAATGTTCAGTTATTCTAATTTCAATCACTGAGATGTTTACAAATATTGTCCCCTTTTTAATAATGTTCTCCATTAATCCATCACCCAACTATTATGAAACTATTTGTTAAGTTTTAAACAAAAATTTAGGTTAAGTCATAAGCGTAGGATTATCTTATTTCTTTGTTTTCTTGTTCACTCAATATGTGAAGACCAGTTCTATGGGTCAGAAACTGCTTCTTGTAAAAATACCCTAGAATATTTATGAATTGCTTGAACCTCAAAAAGTTTATTCTTTTTGCTTTACATTTTAATGAATAATACTTTCAGTTATTCTTGATGACTTTAAGTCGCAAATCACTTTGTAATTGGTAAATATGTTCAACAGCGTTTAAATGTTTTTCGAATATACATAGGCTTTGACAAGAGAACTTACTGATCTCAAATCAATGATGGATACTAGATTCGAAAAACTCTGTGAAAAAGTAAGATTTTATTATCATGTAGATCATTGAATTTCCTAATGTATATTTTGTCTGATAAATTAATTCATTAGTCACGGAATTTCCAAGGCTTTTTATGATCAGTGAATCATGTATCACTTCTAAGCATCAAGATGACCGCATAACTTTCCCATTTGTGTTTTTCAACATTCAATGTCATGCAATAAAGGAATGTTACCATAAACGAGTGACATTTGTTTCAAAATTTACAACTCAAGTTGTTTTCCTTGCTTCTTCTGTGATTTTTACTTATACACTACTCCTAAACAGATTGAATTGTTTCCCAACAACATCGTTAGTTATAGCATTGATATAACTACAAACGACATATTGTTGTGATATGACGCTAAACTTCCATTGGTTTATCAATTGACAGTAAGTGGTGTTCAGTGAGAGCTAGACGTGTAACTAAACAGGCAATTTCCGATTGATAGGATATTAAAGGAGATTTGTTGAACAACTTATCGAACTATTCCTAGTCAGATGGAATCCTTTTGATTGAGTTTCGTTCTCTGAGCTCGATAACTTGGTTTTGGAGCTTACATTCTTTTTCTGTATATTACCAACACAAACTTTAAGTAGAAGTGAAGTATCCTTGACCAAACCATCCAGTACAAACAACGAGACTCCAAAATCATCCACCTGAGCTACAAATCGTCACATATTAAACAGGATTTATTTATGTGTTAAAGATGTAATTAAGAAGACATCGTTAATATACCATATTATCAATGGATATTAAAATTAGAATTTTAATCTTCATATTTGGTGCCACAAATCAGTTTCCAAGTGCTGTGTTCCGAAAATGTTACTACTAAAAATGATCTTAAAGCGAAAGGAAAATATATAAAAATGACTAATCATAGTGAAGTCACATATAATTAAAGTTAACAGATTTCTGAGAGGTAAATAACATTTCTTGTTAAAATAAATTAGATTTCAATCTAGCTGTTAATTGTACAGGTTATTCCTTGTTTAAATCTTATTCAAGATATTTTACTGATGTCCATTTGTTACCACCAAATCACTTGACTATTATTGAAGTATCTTAGTCATTGGCGCTGTTCTACATCTAAATAAAGCTTTCCTACTCGTCTCTAAAATGTTGGATTATACAAGACTGTGTCAGATCTGTTGCATGGCTGTTTAAGAAATTAGTTCTTTCACTATTGAACAAGTTTATCCATCGAAGAGTTTATTTATTTTGGGTATTCTTAAATATTTACAATCTCATTATTAATTATGAATAAGGTTTTATTTTAGTTTTTGTCTGTTTAACTTTTGATCGAATGTTTAGTCACAATTCAATATAATTCCTTAGTTTTTCTCCATAAGTTAGAAAAATATCGGTCTTACAAACTGTGCAAATAAAACACTTATTGTTGTTTGTTACTATTGGTATAACAGTTGACATTGTCACGTATGCTGTCTAAGAATCTGCTGCTTAATTATGATGCATAAAGTATGTCTCCTTACTTTTCTTGTTAATTTTTATTTCACAATATTTTATATACAGATTCTGAGTTCGGAAGCAAAGTTGACTCAAGTCAATAAAGAAGTTACAGAGATAAAAGCTAAGCAGATAAAAATGATCACTGAATTATATGCTCAGAGAAAACAGCTTTATATTGAAATGGACAAAATACGATTAGAATCTGAGATTGGCTTTCATAATTGGGAAAATAAAGTGAACTTACTTAAGACTGAAAATTGTGAATTGAATGCCAAGGTTAGTGTAAAATTTAAATACGTTGTAGCGATAAAGCTAACTGTACATTATTTTTATTCATATAGTAAGTCGTTTTACTAGTCAATAAAAATTGGTTCTATTCTTACTCCTAGTAGCCCCATTTAAGTTTTCAAATTGGATCACTCTAACTTCTGTGGTACTACTCGACTCCACGAAATATTTTATTCAAAACCAAGTGCATAGACCTATATTTGGTTACTAACTTGCAGCAACTTACTTAAATGAAAATACCTTAATGATAGTCAACTTACGTTAAACAAAAGGTATTATGATCGGATTTTAATATTCGCTTCCTACGTTAATATTTATATGTTGATTAGTAAAGAAAGTAAAATCATGTATATAGAAAATCACATTTTAATGACCTCTGTGTGGCTAAAATAAACAGATACTTAGTAAACTTCCAAAACGCGGTTAAGATAATGAAGTCAAGACTTTAAAGAATGGTTCGATTGATCTTTAGACTAATATCAGTTGTCCATCCTCTAACTATATCTTTAGTAAAACATTGATGTCAGCTCTATAGCTCTCATTAAAGTTAAAAAGGTGGTTACTGATTTACAATAATGCTTATTAGAAATTCGTAATGATCTACTAATGTCGTTTAGATTTATTTTCGAGGCGCTAATATTCAGGTATTAGCTTGGATTCACTAATTATTGACGGTTCTCAGTCTATCCAAATAATGGTTATGCCGATGTATATGTGAGGTTAAAAATTTTGTTCAGGAATTATCTTGAATCCCTCAAGTTAGAAATTGCTGAATGCCTAATTTGACTATGGAAACAGTTACTAAGCTGTTTGTGGATATGTTTTTGCAAACACTAACCAATTGCAAGTTTCTAGATTTGGCAGTTTAGGGCCCAATTTTATCTGTATTCTAAAGTGAACACAGTGTCGGTACACCATTTTCATTAATGAAATATTATTTTCATATTATCGGGTAAGCTACAATTGCATTTTAAGTCAAAAGCTTTTCTATTATGAATAATCGGTTGTCATTTTCTTGACTGTTTTATGTTGATTACTTTTAGCTTGCATCTCTTCATTCTTGTTTTGGAGGCAGTCATGTAAATATTGATGAAGAACTAAAGAAGATGAAAGAGGCTGATATGGAAGTATCTAAATTAAGGCCAAAATTCGTTGAGGTTGAAGGCAAATGTGATGAGTTAATAACTTTAAATAAGAATTTACGTGTTGAGCTTAATGATCAAATTAATGCCAATAAAGCGTTCAGAGAGTCTGCTGAAGAAGAGGTAAGAATTTCTGACGTAGAAACGTATTCCCTTCTTATTCTTGTTTTTAGTGTTTAGCTATTTTGGAATCTCCACTAAAAGGAATGTGAATAACTGTTCAAGCCTTTTAAACAGCAAATCCTTTAGTGTTTTCATGCAGTTACGATCGTATTTATTTAATCAGTTCTAGTACTTGCCACTATATTATTTGGTACCTAACTACGTAAACTCAATGATATGTAGTAAGATTCGAATTTGAAATCCACTACATGAAAGGCGAAAGGTTCAAAGCCGCTAATCCATCGCTCCATATTGTTGCCGACCATGTCATGTTTAAAACATTACATGTGAGGATTGTAACGCGAGTTATTTATTAGATACAGCAAGTTACAACTTATTCTCTATTCTAGCCATCAACAATTGAGATGTAAGCCAAGTTGAACCATAATTGAGTGATTTTATTACCACTACTACATACTTGAATTCTTATGCAAGTGGGCTACTAAACATACGATTTGTTGTGATCAAATTTAAGTTTCCTCACTTGGTTTTAAATTTGAAAAACAGCTTACTTGGATATTCTTATCGTACTTCAAAATATTCCTCGATCACCTATAAAGTTAGTGGTGAATAATATATAGAATACTTGGACCGTCTAGCCGCGATTTCTAGAAGCAAAAACAAGGATTTGTGAGAAGCGGCAAAGTCTATAACTTAGCATTTAGTCATTATGTGAAGCAAATAAAACATATCTAAGCACAATTAGCAGAGTTTTACTTATCTATAATTTCAGTGGTATGAGTGCTTATTGTGATAGACTTTCGTTGAAATCGTTTTTACTCAGAAAACAACTTGCAGTTGTCTGTATTTAACAAATATCTACTTAATTTGAATAAAGTATCATAATCATATTTCTGATGGAACTCTAGGTGGCAAAGCAAATAAATGTATTGTCTCGTTTACACCTTATTGCTTGATACCTAGATGACTTTTTGTTGAGTTGTGTAACGTTCGATCACTAATTTTTCTGTATATAGGTCATTAAATTTACATCTATCCAAAGCTAAATATAATAAGTAACATTTATCACATATTACAATTTTGTGAGGAAAACTATAGCAACATCATTAAAAGTGGTTTTCACTCTTAGAGAGAGTGTATTACATATTCTCTCAAATATAGAATAGCAGTTACACTACCAATGACAAAAGATCGTTTCTAGCCACAAGAGAGTAATCAATAATCACATCTTTCTAAGCTTTGTTTGAACATTTTTGCTGATCCACATGTTTTCTTTCAACACGCGTATGTAATCGTTATTTTGTTTTAGTGAAAATTTTGTATGTGCATATTGTATTGTATTTCAGGTAAACCGCCTGAAAGATAGTCTGGGAAATTGTGTTTCCAATTATAAATCAATTATCAACACTATGTCGGAAGAGCATCGTCGTGAGAAAGACCAAATTATATCAAACATGAAGCATGCTGAAGAGACTAAGGATATTTCTTTACAAGAAACTGCCAATTTAAAAATTTTACTAAATAATCTCAAAACTGAGCTAATCGACGAAAAAGAAAAAACTTCTCAGGTTTCAGCCCTATCTGATAGATTTAAAAGTGAAGTAGCCGACCTACGTTGCAATCTCTCTAAAACAAGGGAACACTTATTAGAAGTTGAAGAAAGCTTAAAAGTAAAAAATGACGCAGTTCTATCTCTGCAATCAACAAACAAACAGTTAGAGGACAAACTTTCACTGACTGAAACTTCTTATAAGCTGAAGGAAAAAGAGGTTTGTAGGTTGGTGTCTCAAATTATAGAATTAGAATCTGAAAATAAACGAAGTTCTGATAAAATTAATGAGCTCGAAAACTTAGCTAAGTCATCCAGTCATATCCAATTGGATCTGGAGCATCATTTAGAAACCCTGAGAATTCAACTTAACGAAATGGAAAGTGGATGGTTGTCTACGCGTGCACAGCTGGCTGAAACAAGGCAACAGTTAATTAAGACAGAAGAACTACTTCATGATACGAGGTTGCGTCTTTTACGAGCAAACTATGAAAAAGCTGAAGTTTTAGAACGCTTAACACTAACCGAACCAAAGAATGGAAGAAGTAAACAATATATTTTTCTAAAATTTCATTTCATGTGTTCTACATTTTCTATGAACACACTAACTTCGTCTTACGAGTGTAATTTTTTAAGAATATGGATAAAGTAATTCAGTTTACCGGTAAATTAAATCATGAAAAATAATCGCATAAGTTCAAGGTCCTGGAATATCTATCCAGCAGTACAAGTATATCATTTCTGAGACTTGGTAGGCCTAATTACAGAATGTATACTAGTAGTCTGTTAGCGCTCTAACCACAACTTACTTAAGATTTGTTTTAGCTAACTGTTTGCAATCACAATGAAGGCTAAAATGGAAATTTAGTATTAAACTTAACCAGCATATAAACACCGAGTTATCACGAAAACTGTCCAAGTATCATATTCATTTTGTTCTGCACTGTAGAAACTAATAACATATTTATGCTTTAGAGCTTGGGCAAATTCAATACCGTCTGTGATTGCTCACGTTGTCAATAACATAAGACTAATACGAGCGAATGTAAACTAGATGATCAAACAATATTAGTTTTTACGGAATATCAAAATATAAATGCATTTTCACTGTTATGATTGACCCCAGAAGATTTAGGAACCTCTAAATGCTTATATACCCAGTCCTAGAAGACTTCAAACTCCGTAAAGGACTGGAGTATTAGTTTTTAAATATATAAGTGTGTTTATTTTTTAAAATATACTTCTGTTTCCATAGAGATATACGTCAGTCATATTCCAATTCACTCAACCTATCAGTATGTATATCCTCACACATCAGTTGCCGAAAATGACTTCCTTACGCCTGTTACCACTCATGGATAAGCATAGGCCACCCACCGGGATTCTCCGTCGAACTCTGTTCTGGGCAAATCTCAGTTTGTATTTATTCTTTTGATGTCTGACTCCTGTTCCTAGCACAAAGTGTTGCTTAGTCTTCCTCTTTTCCTTTTCCCTTCAGCATTCTAAGTTAGCGTTTTTCTCGTGATGCAACTTGATATTTTCCTCAATATATGTCTTATCCACTTCCAGCGTCTTTTCCTAATTTTTTCTTCAGCTGGAAGCTGATTTGTTCTTCCTCACAGTAGGTTGTTGCTGATAGTATCCGGCCAACGGATATTGAGTGTCTTGCATGGAAAACTGTTTATAAATTTTTGTACCTTTTTGATGGTTGTTTCAGCTCCGTACAATAGAACTGTTTTGACGTTCGTATTGGAGATTCTGACTTTGATATTAGTTGACAGTTGTTTTGAGCCCCATATGTTCTTCAACTGTAGGAATGCTGCCCTTGCTTTACCAAACCCTTCATTTCCGCTAGTATCAGATCCTCCTTCTTTATCGATGAGGCTCCCTAGATAAGTGATAGTCCCCACCTCTTCCAGGGCTTCCCCATCAAATGTGATTAAGTTCATGTTCTCTGTGTTGTATTTCAGGATATTGGTTTTTCCCTTGTGTATGTTGAGACCTACTGCCTCAGAGGCTTCTGCCATTTATTATTTATTTATTTATTTGAACACATGAATATTAGTACAAGAGAGCGCCAATATATATGCGCCACACAAAACAATGAGAATTCGAAGAGAAGTATAAAAAAAAGCTAAGGAGCGCAAAAAAAAGAGAACAATCACGAAGAGATTGATGTAAGGTAGTATGGTAGAAATGAGGGAACGGAAAGGTACAATCAGAAGAAATCTTTCAGGTAAGGGAGACACAACCACTTTTTATGAAGAAAGTAAAAGAAGGTTACAGCAGGATCGCCACTGGCTTCTATTCTGAGCCATATCTGATAACGTCTCTAGCCACTGTGTAGCACCATCTCTCGGACCCCAACCAGGGAGTCGTGAAGGACCAACACAAGCCAGTCCTTTGCAGCTTTCTTTCATGCCACGACACCATGTCATGCACTGATCACCTCTCTGCTTCTTCCAACCAGTCCCAGAGTCGGCAAATAATACACGACGTGGAATTCTCTGGGACGACATTCGGAGAACATGTCCAAGCCACCGAAGTCGGTGTTTCAAGATGGTGACACCAATTGCATTATGGTCTCTGTGCCCGCACACACGATGCCGAACCTCTGCATTACTGACATGGTGTTGCCACTGAATGTCAGCAATCCTTCGGAGACAGCGATGGTCGAACACAGAAAGTTGTCTAACGTCCTCAACTCGGAGAGGACAGGTTTCACAAGCATAGAGCAAAACTGCTCTCACCGACGCCTTGTAGATCCGACCTTTTACAGCCAGACTAACATCACGAAGGCGCCAAAGGTGGTCCAGATTGGCATATTCCGCTCTGGCTTTCACTATGCCTGAATTGATCTCATCACTCACACTACCACCAGCACTTATGCAGCTACCTAGATACACGAACTTCTCGACTACGTCTATCTGCTCACCATCCAGGGTGAGTACAGGATTGGAATCCTGCCAGTCTTGTAGAAGTACTTTGCACTTCGAAGGTGCAAAGCACATATCATACCTACGGACACTGATTGCCAACTGATTAAGTGCGGATTGCATGCCTTGGGCATTATCGCACAGTAAGACAATATCGTCCGCATACTCAAGGTCGAGAAGTCTTTCTCCAGGCAACAGATCCACACCACCACTATTTACACCCATCAGAGCTGTTTCCAGAATGTCATCGATGGCAAAGTTGAAGAGGAATGGTGAGATTGGGCAACCCTGCCTAACCCCACTGCTCGAATGGAACAATGGAGAGAGGTGATTGTATGCCCTCACTCTTCCTGAGGTGTTTGTATATAGGGCTTTTAGGATGTTAATAAACTTCTCAGGCACACCCTTTTTCAATAGACAATCCCAGAGAACAGTCCTGTCCAACGAATCGAAGGCAGCCCTGATGTCAAGAAACACTACGATTGTTGGCCTGTGATAATTATGACGGTGTTCTAACATTTGGCGGAGGGTGAAGATATGATCAATACATCCTCGACCGGAACGAAACCCAGCCTGCTACTCGCGAGTCAATCTTTCTCGGGTTTTGAACAACCTATGAAGTATGACGGAAGCCAATAACTTGGATGCGATCGGAAGTAGACTTATCCCCCGATAGTTGTTACAGGAACGACGTGAACCCTTTTTAAAGATAGGGACAACGATCGACTCATTCCATGACGTTGGCACACTCTCTAGTTCCCAAGCCTTTGTAAACAACGTCGTCAATTCCTTAGTCAAAAATTCACCACCATCTTTAAAAAGAGCCGGAGGTAAGTCATCTGGGCCAGGTGATTTGTAACGCTTCAAGAGTTGGAGTTCCTTGCGGACTTCCGCCTCACTTGGTGGATCAGGCGTCACCGGCCATGGAGGGCAGGACAGTCTGACCGGATGTTGCCGGAGCAGCAGGCCAGTTGAACTACCCTTCAAAAAATTCTGCCCATCGTCCAAGACGTCGATGGATGTTGGTGATTGGCATCCCATCATCCTCACAGATTGTTTCGCTCACACCAGACTTCTTGCTGCCAGTGGCTCGGATGAGCTGGAAGAGCTTCCGGTAATTACCAGATGCAGCTGCTGCTTCCAGCTCATTAGCACGCCTCGACCACCAGGCTTCTCGGTCCTTATGCAAGCTTTGTCCAATTTCCTTACGTAAAATCCTTCGTTTATGGTCAAACTCACGGTCACCCGGAGTAGACCGACGGGCTTCAATGAGTTGTAAGGAACCTGCAGAAACCCAGTGCATATAAGCGGGACGTTTCGCGAACCCACGACGGACTGTACCCTCCATTTTCATGGCATCATTCAATTGCAACCAATGCTCATCTATACTTTTCGGTGGAGTGGTAGCTAGCCTAGAAGCTAGCTCGGTTCGATACTTACTAGCAACAGAAGCTGCAACCAGCTTGCTAATATCAATCCGTTGATGGCGGTCACTTCGTTGTCCACTGAAAAGTAAGACAAGATTGGCGCAGACCAAGGCATGGTCAGAGTCCAGATAGGTACTCCATAAGGAGCGGCAGTCTTGTACACAACCACGCCAGCGGTAGCTGACCGCGATGTGGTCAATCTGAGTCCAGGCTTGAGATGCAGAAGGAGGACGCCAGGTGGCACATCGGCGATGACTGTGCCGAAAGTTAGTGCTAGCCAGAAACAGGTTGTGGTCTGTGCACAGTTGCAGTAGACGGTCCCCGTTATCTGACCTGCGACCAACGAGTCCCCATCGGCCACCTAAATGACTCTCTTCTGTGCCTAGACGCCCGACCTGAGCATTCAAGTCTCCGGCTGGTAATACAAAATCTGTCGAACGCACTTTCTGGAGAAGAACAGATAACTGTTGGTAGAATTCATCCTTGAATGCATCCGGGCTGCAATCTGTCAGGACATGGGCGGAGATGACGAAAACACATCGTTTCTCACGCCGATTTCTTCTCACTTTGATGGAACTTTCTAATCTAACAGCACATAACCGAATGTTAATGGGGATCCAGTCGACTAGTGCTGCCTCAGCTCGAGCGCTTAGTGCGACACCAACGCCAGCAAGACCAGACGAAGATGCCACAGGGTCCCCGGATAAACGCACATAAAACAAGCTTTTTGAAGCGACAGATGGAGAGCGAATTTGTAGTACTTCACCAGAGTCTTGAATACGGGTCTCGGATAGACAACAAACGTCGATATTAAGACTTTCCAAAGACATAGCCAGCCCTATCGGTTGTCCGACCTGCATAAGTGTGCGAACGTTGAAGGCAGCCAGTTTGAATGGTGCACGTGGTTTCAGAAAAACTGCTTCAGTCCTCGTATTCGGTGGTAGCATACAATTTTCAACCGGTCAGTGACTCAAGAACGTTTAGATACAGTCGAATTTCCACCAAAGACGAGCCGCTGTGTAAGTATAAAAGAGGGTGAATAATGTGGAAAATAATAATAATAATAATAATAATAATAATAATAATAATAATAATAATAATAATAATAATAATAATAGTATTAATAATGACAATAATTGTAATTATAATTTGAACCATTTGATTGTTTTTCGAAGCGAGAAAGCAATTTCCATAGACATAAAGAGTTCATCATTTGTGTGTGGGCTGTGATACTGCCCGGGTACCCAAGCCGAAGCTTCTGACATACTGGTTGTCTTGACCTGCATTTGTTGATGTGTATGAAATATTAGGGCCAGGTCATCTGCGAAGCCCGAATCGTCCAGTTATATCCAACCTATCCATTTTATTCTGTGCTTTCCCTCAGACGTCGAGGTCTTTATAATCCATTCAACTACCAGAAGAAAAAGAAAGTGAGAGAGTAAGCAGCTTTGTCTTGCACTAATCTTTACTCAGAATGAATCTGTAAGTTGTCCTTCACACACGACTTTGCAGTTTAATCTGTCGTATGAATTCCTTATGATGTTGACGACCTCAAGTACGCCACCTTGTCGAAGGTGTCATAAGGTTCTCCTATTCACACTCTGAGATACCTTCTAATCAAGGAAATTGATGTATAATGACGAGTTCCATTCAATTAATTGTCCAACGATGATCCGTAGTGTCGCGATTTCATCTGTACACGACCGATCCTTACGGAATACAATCTGTTGATCTTGTAGTTTGGCGTCCACTGAATCTTTCATTCGGTTCTGTAACACACTGTTGATAACCTTTCCTAGTGCTGATAATAGTGTGATGCAATGGTAGTTCTTACATGTTCTGAGATCTTTATTTAGTATCTTGATGAGGTATCCATATTTTCAGTCTTTCGGTCGCACTTTTTCTCCCAAATTTTCCTTAATAGAACGTAGAGTATATCTGCCGTTGTTTCTATGTCTGACTTCAATGCTTCAGGTGGTATGTTGTTCGGTTCTGCTACTTTCTCACCCTTGATTTGTCTAATGACCATCCTGGTTTCTTCGATCGTTGATGGAGTGACAGCTATAAGAAGGTTTGTGTTTGCCTGTTCGATGTCCGATGGATTCAGTGGACCTGGTATATTCAGGAGTTCCTTAAAGTGTTCTTCCCCTCTGTTCTTGAATCTCGGTGACTAACTTGCCCTCTTTGTCCTTGACCGATCTCTCTGTTTGACAATAGTTCCCTGATAGTTTCATCGTTGTATCATCTGGTTGTCGGATATTTCTTTTTCTTACAGCTTTTTCAACTTTCATTGCCAGGACTTCGACGTATTTCTGCTTGTTGGCTCTAATGCTCCGCTTCGTTTGCTTATCTGCTCTCATGTATCAGGCCTATGCCTTGGCTTTCTCTGCTGTTGTTCGACTATTTTCAATAGCTGTCTTCTTATTCCCTTGAATCTTGTCCAAGGTTTCGATAGAGACCCATTCCTTGTGATGATGCTTCATTCTGTCAGCACCTCTTGGCATGTTGAGTTTGTCAGTATCTCGAACCTTCGTAATGTTGTTTCTCCAGTTGCCCAGTGTTCCTTTAGCTTCGGTTTCATCTTAGCAACTATCAGGTGGTGATCTGGAGCTATGTCAGCTACTCTCTCGTCTTCTATGAATCTCTCGAATATTTTATTGTTGTAAGTATGGTCGATCTGGTTCTCTGTAGTGTGATCCGGTGAGATTCATATAGATGCATACATTTCTGGGGCAATATGGTGCCACCTATAACCA